GAGGGTTGGTTTTTTAGTTTTGTGTTTATAAGTTTTTTTTTTTTTTGTTTTTTTTTTTTTTTTTTTTTTTTTTTTTTTTTTAACTGGTCACTACCCACTGCACCTGAATGTTTTCATGTGTGTACTGGGGCCGGGCGATGTCTCTTCTGGTTTTGGGTCCTGTTTCTGGGATCTGTCTGGTTTTAGGTTTGAGAGTGGTCCAATTCCCAGCATAACTTATCCTTTTGCTGTCGCTGCTGCCCAGGGCATAGCTTTCAGAGGTCTTGTTACTGATATCAGAAGGCTTTGTCCTAACCTGTGTTTGTGTTAATTTTCTCCTGGAGGATTTGATGCAGTTCAAATATGAGACCAACAAGGAACTATTAAAAAAGAGACTTTCTGTAAAGCTCTACTACAAAAATGACTTTTTCCAACATGTGGCTTGTTTGGCCCCGTCAGTGACAACATGCAGTAGAGTGACCAGGCTGAGAGAAGTAAGACCTGAAGCTGTCAGACCTGTCCATCCATGTCTTAAATGGTGTCTTCGGGCTGTTGCCTCACCTTACGTCTTCCTTCCCTGCCATCTCCCGTGTTCTTGGGGGAGTCTGTCTGTCATAGCTCTGCAGTGTCAAGGATTCTGCCTTGAATTTAGGTAGCAGATCGTCATTTTCACCCCTGTGCTGTTTGGGTGGTGGCTGCTTGTGACTTCAGTCACCTTTTGCGGTTTCTTCCTGATTTCACTGGTGGATGCTCATTCCTTCGCTGGTGAATTGGGAGCACTGGCCTGCAGCAGGCTCCCTGTGGACTGCAGCTAAACAAAGCCATCTTTGCCAGCCTGGGCTGCCCCCAGCTCAGCGCTGTGCTCCATGCTGTCCAGGGGGTTTTCCCCTCGTCTTGGGTTTGCCAGTCTCCAGCACTCTTGTATGGGACCTCACAATCTGTCCTCGCCTTCACTCCCTGAAGCAGTGTTTGTTGGGAAGTCCATAATGGCTTCTCAAGGTGTCCTTTTGCTCCTGCGTCTGCTTGGATGCTCTGCCCTATAGCCCACCCACTGTGCATCCTCTGGGTTTTCTGCCTGCCCTTTCTTTTTCTGCCTGGGGAGATTGCATTTGGGAAAAAGAGGAATCTTTGGGTTCAGTGTTGTTCTGGGCTGCCAATTAAAATCACCTCATCCATACAAGGGATATTTCACATGTTTTCCAGAGCTGGAGAAGTAACGGCAGAGAAGGCAGTATCAGAGGTGGGAGGAGATGCTGTCAGGGGGAGCTTTGGAGTTTGAGGAGCATCCTGTGGGAATGGCTGTGAAGGGATTGTGCACATGCGAAGGGAATGCCGAGGAGGGCTGGGGAGACTCCTGGATGTCCAGAAAAGAGGCTTTTTGGAGACTGATACGGAGTTGGCCCAGAAGGGAGATGTGAGTTACAATATGGAGAAAAGCTCCTTGTGGTATTGCAGTATTTTCCAAAGAGGTGAACTTTTCAGAGGAGTGGGTAGCATCTCACTGAGAGACTAAACTATTCCTCATAAGTCCCACCATAGTGGCTTTGGCATCCATTGTAATCTGTGGAGGTCAGAGCGATGGCATTGTCATTTCCCATTGCTGATGGTGTGCCACCTGGAAGGAGACCTTCAATCTGCTTGGCCTTCAGTATCTCAGCAGGGGGTTGTTGAGTTTTATGTGGTGTAGATGCAAGACAGAGAAATAATAAAACTCGTCAGGCTTTCTTCAGTGGTGTGTCTGAACTTCTGTAAAACAGACCTGAACCAGTGACCTAGAGGTGAAGCTTTTCAGTTTCATTACTAGTCCCTTGAGCTGTCTTCTCGCTCTGTTTGTGACTCCAGGATCCCACACGCTCAGTGGCATGGTGGGGTGGGGATTGTACAGATCTGGGTGGTCTGAGCAAGGCTCTTGCCAGTTTGCCCAGGTACTGTAGAATTTGCTGGGAGGGAAAAGGGCAATATGAACATGAAAATTACTGGTCTAAGCCAAACTAGAGCTACTAGAACCTTAAGAACGAGTGGTGAAATACCAAAATATGAGGATACACCAAAGGTAAGGAAAATTACAGTGTCGATACTGTCCTCATTTCATGTGGGTCATCACAAAATAGTCTTAAGGTACATCATCATTCAGTGTTTGTCAGATGGTGATATCTGAATGGCCAACCTTGAAAGTACCTTCATTTCCTTAGCCCTGGGCTCACTAATGTGTGTGGTCTTGATGCCACCAGCAGCTGCTCTCAGGGCGGCAGTGTCACTGGGAGAGGGTACTGGTATCTTGCAGAGTTTTTCCACAATCTTGAACATTTTTTCTTTCTTTGATAACCAAGTAATTTTTCTCCTCGAGGAGGGTCCAGGCTACCTCTGTTGCTTTGGACTTCCTGCAAAATAGTTTTTTCTTGTTTTATTTAATGATTTTTCAACATGAGCCACACCTTCAGGATCACAATTTTCCTCCCCTGTTATTCTGTGAATGCATTAATTAGTGCAAGATGCTAAATAAGTCTGTAAAATCACATGAGAAACTGTGGATGATCTTTTCCATCCTTCATTTAACAAGCTTCATGTTTGAACATGTACAGTTTTCTATTTTCAAACTTGCATTGTTCTTTCAAGCCCAAATGAGACTTTTCTTTATATATAGTGTGTCTATATTGTGCATATATGTCATATATATAAAACATCTTTTATATAGTGTTAATGTTCCCTAGACCAGTATTAGGTAAAGAATTGTTAGTTTTATGAGAAGAGCTCAGGGGACTGTTGCCCACCACTGGCATTACCAGAGCAATGTGTTCCCTCAGTTCTGCGATGGCCCCTTCTCACCATGCTGGAGGCACGGGGGAAGGAGCCTTCTTGTCTTCTGTGCTTGTCTTAGAAATTTTAAACATAGCATTCCTCGGTTAAATTTCAAAACGGCCTTTGAGCCCCATTCAACCTGGCCAAGAACTGCATGGGAATTTGTTTTGCATTAAAAGCCCGAATACGTTGTTTTGCTGTAGTTTCAATGAAATCTCTGCTCTTTAATTTCATTCTGACATTTCATCTGAAAATGTTGATGCTCCTGAGAGGACTGGGGATTTTATAGTCTGATTTAAATGGCTTTAGGGGTTTTCAGTTATATTTTGTATTTGAGAACACAGCTTAATTCTCTAGAGTGTGTTTGAGCATGCCTTGGGGAGTGTCTGCTCAGCCCTGGGTTTGGGGTCCTTGGCGTGTTTCTCCAGAGGCGGGTCTGAGGATACAGTAATGGCATGTAAGTGATAAAGTCTCTGCCACTCTTCCTCTTTCAGAGAATTCGGTCGACAGTGGATGAAAAAGAACAGAAGCAGCTTCTGATGGACCTTGATGTAGTAATGCGAAGCAGTGACTGCCCGTATATTGTTCAGTTTTATGGCGCGCTCTTCAGAGAGGTGGGCACCCCAAACTTGCTTTATTCATAGCAGAGTTTGGTTTTACTTTTTTTCTTTTCTCTTTGCAGTTTCCAACTTGCAATAAGGAGGAGAAAGTTAATTTATGTTAGGTTTCTTAGCTCTCTGTGTTTAATCAAGGGCACTTAACCAGGAGACCCCGACGCCTGGGTGCTGCTGAGCACACACACGCTATTCCCATTCCTTGTTCTGTCTCTCTGTGTATTTCAGTCTCTCCCTCTTTTCTTCTCTCTTGGTGAGCTCCGGGTCCGTGTGTGCTGCTGGGCTGAGCACAGCTCTGCCACACAGCGCTTGGACCCAAAGGTGGCTTCTGCCAGTGGCTGTGAGATGGGACCCCGTGGAGGACCTATGACTCTGTCATGGAGGTGGCTGCTCTGACAGCAGCTCCCCGTGTCTGATGTGTGTGTGTGTCTGTAGCCAGGCTGTGGCAGACTCCCAACTGACACGCGTCTTCCTTGAAGTGGTTTTTACCTGAGATACATAAGAAAACAAGGGCAACTGCGCTGGGTTGGACCAAAACTCCTGATGGGGTGTTCTGTCTCTGGCAGCAGCACCCAGGACCCACTTGCAGAAGCGTGTGTGATACTTTGCCCTGTAGTCTTCACTTGTACGCAGCTGAGTGTCTTCTGAGCTGGACATGCTGTCTTTGTGCTGAGTGATTCTTGCTGGATTTCTTTTCCATGGAAGTGTTCAGTTTGCCCTTGAATATATGTACCTTTTTTGCATCTGTGTTACTCCCTGAGAGGCACTTCCCTTGCTTGTCCACCCCTTGTTTGAAGGCCATCACCTTGATTCATTTTGACTTTTCATCCTGCTGTTTTGAGTGGTGCCCTGATAGTTCCCCTAGTTTTTGTATTTGAAGATTTATCCATCCTTTCCAGGCTACTGGGGATTTTATGGACAGTTGCCATATTCCCCCTCTGTCATGTCTTACCCAGCCTGATAAGTGCCAGCCTGTGTCATACACAGGACCCCTTCCAGGCCCTTGATCATCTTTCTTGCTGTTCTCTGCATATTTCCAGTTCTACTCTGTCCTTTGGGAACAGAGGCCAGAATTGCATGACTGTTCTTGAAAAGACCAGTGTCTGCAACAGCTGGCCTAGAGGCTGGAATTTTGCTTGTCCCTTCTATGTGTGTAGATGCCGTTTGCCCTGAGGGGGTTATTCAACATGATGCTTCCATGAGCCATGGCCAGGAATGTGATGTTAAATCACTGCTTGTTTGTGGCTCTTTTAGCATCTACTTACTGTAATTTAAGGTAGACATGCTGCAGGGCCACAGAAGGTACCCTTCTGTCTCCTTGTACCTTTAAGGTACTTAAGGTACCTTGTACCTCCTCTGGCTTTAAATATCAGTCTCTAAAATGAGGAAAATCATCCTTCCTTTTCCCATGCTCCACTTTTTGTTATCTGTTTAAACATGAAGCCGTTTTGGGTGAGGAGATGTTGTCCATGTGCACACGGGACGAGCTCCTACCAAGAGTGGAGCCTCAGCCTTGGCTGAAAATTTCCAGCTTTGCTGACATACAAACGATAAGGCTGTCAGGTGTTGTGAGGAAAAGTCTCTGGGCAAGACAGTATCTTGCCAGATGCTGATGAGCAACATGTTCAGAGCTGTGTGAGCCCGTCACCTCTCTGCAGCTCCAGGCACATCCCAGGTTCTAAGTGTAAACACATACACAGTACAAAAACCTGCCTTGATCAGCATCCAAATGTCAGCCTGGCTTCTGCTGCTCCCTTTGTCTTGTCCAAAAATCCTGTCCTCCTGCAGCCAGGCAGAGCTCCTCGGGTGCTCCATCAGGGACAGGTTTCAGTAAGGTCACTGTGGGTTATACCACGTTGGTCCCTGGAATTCCTTTCTCCGCCCACCCTCAGCATCAGTGGCGTTTGCCTCTAAGACTGAAGTGGCTTCCCCTCTCCTCGGTCCAGTATGACCAAGGGGACCTTCCAAGTCACATACCTCAGAGGCACACAGGGTGAGCTGGTGTGCTTGGATAAGGGATTCGGTCTTGTCGTATTAATTACATGTTCTAATATTAATTACATCTTTTAAAGCTGGGCAGCTGTGACAGCAGAGATGCACAGAAAGGAATAAAAGAATTTCACCAGTACGTTTGAACCTGTCTCACTGCCCCACTCCGCTTAGCAGATCTGTTCCTAAATAACTGAACGATCCAGGTCACAGCTGCACCATCCCCCGGGTATAAGAGCACATGGGACATTACTAAAGACTGAACTTCTCTCAGGAAGTCCTACAGTAAAACATGTGTAAAAAGGGCTCTTTGTTCCAGCGTTTCAAGGTGAAAAGTAAGGAAATAAGTTCCAAAAGGCAGATTCTCTTGGGTCCACTTGCTCTGAGCCAGGATTCAGATTCTCCAGGGATGGGTGGAGATACTGATAGGAAGTCTTCTGCCTGCTCTTAAAAGGTGAAAGACCAAAGTGAACCTCTTTGGAGAGCTGGAACACTGAGGAGGCAGCTTTCACAATCAGGTGATGGGCAAGAAGATGACATTGGGCTCAGGAGCGGTGCAGGGAAAGGCAGGTGCCTCTCTGGAAGAGTGAGATGTCGATGGGGAGAACCAGAGCTAAGCTTCTGGATCCCGACAGCTTGGGGAGTGGGAGAACTGAACCAAATTGGACAGAACCAATTGGACAGAACAGTCTTCACTGTTAGGACTGCCCCTCATGAATCTGTGGCCTTAGAGGCAAGGGGGATGGTATGGAGAGAGGAAATTTTTCCTCCAGTAGAAGAGGACCAGGTTCGGGAGCACTTGGCCAAACTGGACATTCATAAGTCCATGGGCCCTGATGGGATGCACCCGTGAGTGCTGAGAGAGCTGGCAGATGTTATCGCTGGGCCACTCTCTATCATCTTTGAAAAGTCATGGAGAACAGGAGAGGTGCCTGAGGACTGGAGGAAGGCCAACATCACTCCAGTCTTCAAAAAGGGCAAGAAGGAGGACCCTGGGAACTACAGACCAGTTAGTCTCACCTCTGTCCCTGGGAAGGTAATGGAGAGACTCATTCTAGATGTCATCTCCAAACAAGTTGAAGAGTGGGGGGTTATTGGAAGTGGGCAACATGGGTTTACCAAGGGTAAATCATGTATGACCAATCTGATAGCCTTCTATGATGCCATAACCGGTTAAGTTATTAACTTGTCTGTTAATAAACAGACAAGTTACTGTTGCAGTCTCTGTGACTATGAAAAGTTGGATTCGGAAAGGCAAAAAAGACTACACAAATACTTTTCCCTCGTTGTATTCTGTCTCACTTGTTCAGCAAGCATCTTCTAATAGGCAAGGTCTTCTCTGGGAACTGGTCCTGCCTGTCCCTTAGAAGCCAGCATCGTAACACACATTATTTGCTTCTTGTTATTTAATCATATGGGACATCCTGCTGTTTTTATGTATGTCTTTGTGTAAGGTAATGTGTAACCATGCAAAAACTACAAGTTGATTGCTGGGAACAGGACTTTGCTTGAGTTTATCGGTACCCATCAGATGAGATTAAATTGCCTGTTGAATGAAACTGCAGCAAAGCTGAAAAAGTAGGAGATGGCATTTCAGCCTTTGCATGGAGTAAGGGGCTTAATTGATCTGATGCCAGATAGTGCATCTGCTGGGGTCAGGTCCTCCATGGAACAGCATGTGCTCACACCTGCTCACGTTGATGAAGCCATGACCTTCACGTCACCATGTTAAATCTCCCCGTGATATTACAGCATCCTTCATATGCTAGTGCAGCTGTTGAGCTCTATTACTTTGTTCTCCAACAATCCTAGGTAGAAAAAAAAAATGAAACCTTTTTTTTAATAACAGAAGGAATCCCTAGGCACTGATGTTGTGATGTGGGGTAGTTGAAATGATTTTCATGTCCACAGACTGACACGCATCTAGTAAAGGCTGGAGAATTAAGAGGATCAGAAAGAGAAAGGCCTGGAGGAAAGTGCAGAAGGGGTAGTTATACCAGGGGCTATAGAAGGGATTCGGTGGCTGATGAATCATAAAATCATATCATACTTTAAGGAGGCACTCTTAAAGGTGCAGGATAAAGTCATACCCAAGTCCCAAAGATCAAGCAGGAAGGGAAGACCAGCCTGGCTAAATAGAGAGCTTCGGCTGGAACTCAGGAACAAAAAGAAGGTTTATAATCTTTGGAAAAGGGGCCTGGCAGGCAAGGAGAAATACCAGGCAGCAGTGAAGATATGCAGGGGGAAAATTAGAAGGGCCAAGGTTCAAGCTGAGCTCATCTTGGCCGCTAAAGTTACCAATAACAAAAAGGGTTTTTTTCGGTATGTAAACAGTAAAAGGAAGATGAGGGAAAATGTGGGCCCACTGATGAAGGAGATGGGCACCCTAGCAGTGGAAGACACGGAGAAAGCAGAGTTGCTGAATGCCTTCTTTTCTTCAGTCTTCACTGTTAGGACTGCCCCTCATGAATCTCTGGCCATGGAGGCAAGGGGGATGGTATGGAGAGAGGAAATTTTTCCTCCAGTAGAAGAGGACCAGGTTCGGGAGCACTTGGCCAAACTGGACATTCATAAGTCCATGGGCCCTGATGGGATGCACCCGTGAGTGCTGAGAGAGCTGGCAGATGTTATCGCTGGGCCACTCTCTGTCATCTTTGAAAAGTCATGGAGAACAGGAGAGGTGCCTGAGGACTGGAGGAAGGCCAACATCACTCCAGTCTTCAAAAAGGGGCAAGAAGGAGGACCCTGGGAACTACAGACCAGTTAGTCTCACTTCTGTCCCTGGGAAGGTAATGGAGAGACTCATTCTAGATGTCATCTCCAAACAAGTTGAAGAGCCGGGGGTTATTGGAAGTGGGCAACATGGGTTTACCAAGGGTAAATCATGTTTGACCAATCTGATAGCTTTCTATGATGCTTTAACTGGTTGGTTGGATGAGGGGAGGGCAGCAGATGTCATCTACCTTGACTTCAGCAAGGCTTTTGACACTGTCTCCCATAACATCCTCATT